AAACCATCATTTGCATAACATTTCAAGTTGCTGAACATTTACTTTGGCCAAAAAAAAAAAAAAAAAAAGCACAAAAGGTATCACCCGCTTTATATCGCTTTCTTCCCATGACAGCCTTCAGATCATTTAGAGGAATTTACCATTTGACTGGTCTTCACCGTAATTCTTGTGTGATGGCGCGTACAGGAACATTAGGGCAAAGACATAGAGGTTCCACATCCCGTAGATGCCGGTGAAGAAGGCGCTGTTCGCTTGTATTGTTATGTCCCCCCACTTCCAGTGGCCTTCAGTCACCTGCCCGGGAGAAAGCAGACGTGCATGGGCCGGTCAGTAAGACCAAATTCTGTAAACATACAGAAGTGACCCCCCTAAAACATTAGCTTGGAGTAAATCAGTAAGAACAGTGTCAGTTCAACAGGACTGAGTAAACAGAGTATAACAGATTCAGTGAGGGAGAAGTCAGGCTAGGATTCTCCTCTTTAGCCTTAATCTGCAGGAAAAAAATGGTCCTCACAAAATGATTGCATCAGGATTTCTTTAACTTTGATTTATCATTCTTAAATATGACAAAATCTCTCATATTCTGCAATATGTCCCTGTCATAACTGATGTGTTCAGCAAAGATTGCCACATAAAGGGCAGTACCTAGGAGACAACTAGTTACATCTGAAAACATTAGACTTCTATAAATAGACCTTTTATAGAAGGAAAACCAGCATGAATAATGCGAAGAGCTAATGTGCTGGGTGCCTGCTTGCTGCTTCTGTCTTACAAGAGGGGCCTAGGCTGACAGCATTAGCCTTAGACATGCAGACATTTGTCAAGATTTATGAAAATATTATCAATATTAATAGTACTTTAATCATCAATATTAATATTACTTGAAGATACGCAGACTGTTCACACTGAAATGTTGGCTTTCCGTTAAAGAAAAAGACATAAGGTAGAAAGACAAAAGCTAAACTACCTGGAAAAGAGTAGCTGGACAGAATTGTTTGCATTACGCCCGTACGCAGTAATGGTTATGGTCATCAGCACTCAATGATGAATCCAATTGCCAAGTGATATTTCTCAAACCATTGCTTCAGCCTAACAGATTTTTAAGAGCAAAATCATCTGCCGCTATATTTTGCGCTGGGACCCACCACGTACCCCAAAGTGTAAGTAGTGCATTGAGGCAGAAACTGCTCCTGCACCTGTAATTCTGCAATACTGGACTTGCGAGGCTGTACCCATGGCTCTCCCGAAGCTACCAGCTGCCTATGCTTAGGAACAACCAGAAATGACATCTTTGAAACAGATGCAATCTTAAAAGTCACTTAGAGTAAACCATCAAAGTACATTTAAGTAGCGATATAAGCTCATTTGTACAGAGACTGCATTGGAGCTCAGAATAAATAGGTATAGATAGTGTTGGAAACAGCAGCGTTGCAAAGTCAACCCAGGGAATATTGAATTCTGTTATTTCCCTGTGGGCATACAAAGCCACTGGATTTTTTCAATGTGAACAGAAGATTTTCCTCTTGCTGAGTTCTCAGAAATGACTAAACCGTGTTGGCTGATATTTCAAACTGCGCAGCCCCAAACCTTACCGTGAGCCAAAGGCCTTTGTGGAAGCTTCAGCCTAAGCAATCTTATAGCAGTGTTTCAAATAAATGAAAACAACTTCTTAAAAAGCAACTTATTATCAAATCTGCTTACAACAGGCATGCCTTGTCTGAACAGCAAGTGAGCTGACATCATTAGTGGTTAGGGAATCAGAAGCTGATGTTCTCAGATGGAGCCGAGTTTCGTCACTCACCTGGCTCACGATGAAGAAGATGACTGTCATTGCTGCACAAGTCAGGGTAATGAGCATCAGGAACTTGAACCTAAAAATCAGCCCCTGTTTAGAGAGAAATGTCACTGGTCACATTAACAGAATCCACAAAATCCATTTTTGTTTTTAGCATATACAAGACACAAGTATAAAAAAAAAAAAGGGCAAAGAAAAAAAAAGGGTCCAACCCACGAAACCCCAAAGCAAAACAACCTCCACCCACTCCTCTGCACCGTGTTCACGACAGCCCATATTCTCCGCTCCCCACACGTCTGCATTCCTCCCGGATGCTCCGAGCGGGGTGTGCATGTCTGGACAGCTCTTGCTTTCCATTACATTTGCTTTTGTGACTGATATACCAAGAGTTAACGTGGAAGAGGGGGCATGTCAGCGTAAGCCATGGGTTTCATCCACCAGCCAGCCTGATAGCTCGTAGCTTTTTTTAAACAAACATCTGTGGAGAGCTTCCAGTTTAGTGAGATGAGTCGGTGTTTCTACAGCGCGGGTACTGGTACCAGACTAATCCTCACCTCCACGGTCTGGCTGGCTGGAAACTGCAGCGATTCTCAACACTTGTCAAAACTATGCTGGCTATTACAGAAGAATGTAAATTATAAGACAAACTATGGCTCAAGATCACTTGGTTGGGAATCTGACTGCATACCATACTTGCTTTCACTAGTTTTACATTTTTACTTACAAATTCTTTTGGTTTTGTTTTTGTGTGTGTTGTTTTTTTTAACCTGTTTCTGGAATTTTGGTGGAAATGTCAGTGTGTGCGTAATTACTATGCCACACTGCGACAACAAATAACTATTAATTTAACTCTTCCAGACCAGATTCATGCTTGCTAGATGCTTGTATTTAGAGCATGGCTGCAGGAGCTCTACAATACAAGCTGAAGTGTTGTGCCTCTTGCTAAAGGGAAAGATGGAAAAAATGCTCAATATCTTGTTCAAATTCTCACAAGTCTGATTTTCTGTTTTTTATGTACGTTCCTGGTGGGTGATAACTGGCCTGTTTAAATCAGAAGTGACCATCATTTAACAGAACAACATTGGTGATAGATGTTTACAGACCCATGGAAACAACAGGCACTCTCAGCTTAAGCACTTAAAGTGAGCGCCTTGTGTTTTACAGCAGATAAAGCTAGCTAGGACAGAAACAACATACAAAATCATGGGCTAAAAATAGGGATAATGAGCTGAACATGTCGCATTTTGATCCTAGCAGGACAGTTTCCCTCCTGCAACTAGGTTAGGAAAAGACAATCCCGAGAATCTGGATTCACGCCATGGAAAAACAGGGTGGTCTTAGCAACACTTTCCATTAAATACAGTCATTAACATTACAGAAGGAGAAATGGAGGTACAGGGAGCTGATGGGCTTACACTCCATAGTAATTTAAATGGTAGTTTGGCCAGTTTTCTTCTGTCCTCCAACACTGTTCAGCAAGCTGGGAGATGGCAACTACTCATAGAAAAGGAGAGCTAGCTTACATACCCTCCTGACAGTTTAAAATACTTTATTGGGACTAAAGACCCAAATAAAGAAGAAACTTCACAACAGTCAAACAAAAAGGCATTTAGGGGATTTGAGCAACGCGAGAAAGCCAATAACAGATCAGATCTTCCAATTCAGGGCTATATGGATAGAGAAGGTCTCAGTATAGATTTTAAGATCAAAAATGCATTTTAAAAATAAGGAATCTGTGCAACAAGGAGGGACATTACCTCGTAATGAAGGCGGCGAGCCTTGCTCATGGCTGGGAGGCTTGACTGCTTTCCACTGATGTTTCTGAACACTTGGAAGACCATAAAACACAGGAAGAGAAAATAGAGACACAAGCAGATTCCTGCGACTATAATAAAGGCCATCTGGGCAGCGCTAGTTAACAGAAAATGAGCTAAACAGAGATAATAGAAAACATTATTCAGGCGATTCACTTATTTTAATATCATCCCAAAGATCATAATTAAATTCTAGCCAGCAGCAATCACTCAGGACAGCAGCCTGCCCGTGACTCAGGCAGCGCTGGGTGAGCCCCCTGGCTCAGTGAGGAGCACAGGTTCTGATATCCCACAGCGCTTGGCACATCAGTGAGGAGGGATAACCCACCAAAACGCCTGCCCATTCGAAATCTGCAGAGGAGATTTGGGAAGCCATCGCCGACCAGCATGATCTTCAGAGAGGCTTCTGCAAGAGGGCTGGATGCTGCGGAAGGGGGACTAATTGCATTAGCTTATCTCAGCCCAGTAATCAAAATTAATGGCAGTGAAAGCAAGCCCTTCCAGTGGGACCTGAAAGGGAAATTCATGGAAATGCCTCAGCAACGTGTGCCCGAGTAATGGCAGCAAACGGAGGGCCCCGGAGCAGATGCCATCACAGCTGGGGCCAGCAGGGGAAAGCAAAGCGGATGCTGCTGGAGCAGCACTGGCTCTAGGGTTATCGTTAGGACATCCAGGACCTAAATCCCCTGTGCTTCCCCCCAAATCTCAGACATCTTGAGGAGAAGTTCAGTTCTCCAGTGACTTCCCCAAGCACAGCACCAGTCCCTGGCAGTACCCAGCACCAAACCTACCAGGACTGCTTCTTCCAAACAACACTGGCATCTCCCACAGCACCCGAGCCCCCCCTCACAGCCCCAGCCTGCCAAAAGGAGAAGGGTTTCCCCACACCTCCCTCTCCTAATAAGAGACCGAGCCTGCCCCAAGCCGGGTGGAAGGATACAGCCAGCTCTGTGCCAACTTCGGTGGTCCAGATGCTGTAGAAGGGGTTCTTCAGCTGCACTCCCCTGCAAAGAGGAGAGAAAACACTGAGCTGCCACAGAAGCCAACAAGCTCAGAGAGCCCCGAACCTGCTCTGCAGCCTGGAAAGAGGCAGTCACACTGCTTTCCCATGTGGGCAAGGAGGAGACAAGGTGGGAAGCGTTTCTTTACAACCCTATGGGACAAGATATGCTGCTGCGCAACACCAGCATGCTTCAGTGCACTGACAGGAGCCTCTCCTCACTTCATGAGATGGGGCTGTGCATCCAGCCACAGGGGTTAAACTGCTGGTCCCTGCTGCAGGAGGTGCGCAGGGAAGGCTTGCCCTGGGAGCAGCGCCGCACCTACCTCTCGCACATGTCAAAGATGAAGAGGCAGAAGGAGCCAACAGCTATGGGTCCAACCTGCTTCCAGTACCCTGAGAGACGATTCCGCTCATTCTGGTCCTAATCAGAAGGTCAAGAGGTGGGGAGGAGAAGGAGGAGAAAAAGGAAAAGCAAGTTAGCCTGAAGTCCTCTCACCTGGAGCAAGTCCCCACAGCATTGTCTCCAACACTCAACAAGTACAAGGGAGTCGCCAGGTATCTCTGCAAGTGGGGCTGGAAACCACCTTCCCTTCTGTGTCATACCCACCATCATGTGCTCTCCGCAGAAGATGATCCAAAATGACAGGAGCATGGCATAGAAAATGCCTTGTCGAATGTCTCCGAAGAGCAACATCCAAGTCCAGTCAAATCCGATGGAAAACCACTCTACGGGGATGTTAATGAACGTCATGGAAATTCCCAGAGCAAAGATGACCCTGGAGAGGCAGAAACACCATCTCTTTCCAGCTTGCAAGGCAAGGACACAGAGCCCCAGAAGCCAAAGCTGTGCATGAAGAGCAACAGAAGAAAATCTGGCACTGTTTGGGCAGTGGCAGTGCGGTATCACCTCCTGCCAGCAAACCCTCTGGGGCTAGGCCTCTCTGAGCAGTCACAGGCAAATGCAGCTACTCATTCTCTATGGGTTTAATGGGAAAGAAAAGAGAAACTACGGATTTCTCCTGCTCCCAGTGTGCCTGGGTGGAGGGAGGGGACAGAGAAGAGACCATCCCTGTCTCCCCAGACACGGGCTCTGCCTGGGAGCAGTGACTGCCTTGGTCAGGGTCCTCTTGCTTGAGGGTCACCTTACCCAGCATGCGAGCCCCTACTCACTTCTCCAGCAGGACAGGAGCACGTGTCATCAGCATGATCCGTCTCCAGTACCAGACCATGATAATTAAAACGCTGGGGGTGAGGAAGGTCTTCATGGCAAACCACACTTTTGTAAAGCCTCCATTTTGATGAATGCCCTAGGGAAAACCAAAGTGGAATGCAACAGCTGTACAGGGTTTAACATCATTACTCCATGCTGCTTCTTACAGGAGCTTACGGGAGAGGCACATACATGGCAGTACATATAAGCACACGTAGATGCAACTGCTCTTTGAAAGACGTGGTTTGCCCAATGCAGGAAAGGGAGCAGGTGCGTACTTAGCACCCAGGACATCTGAGAAGGCTTCAAAAGTCCTGAAAACAAATGCCAACACATGCAGCTTCCCATTGCGAGGTAGAGACCAGTCAAGAGAGGCGCACTCTGACACAGCATGGAAAAAACTGGCAGAATTGCTCTCAGACAAGTAACAAGATACTCGTGAAGCAAAGTCACCACTGGTGGGAAACGCATCAGCCAAATTAATGCATTTCTCCAGACACATGCCCTCCCACTGCCGTCTGCAGCCACCACAGCTGGCTGGCTCACTGCTTCTGCTGAGAGGGACAGTGGTGGGAGGTTTTCCAGCTGGGAAAAGGACCCATGGCCACCAAGCCTCAACAGAGGGCAGGAGCAGGGATAGCTGACAGCCATCCCAAACATCTGCATGGTGATGGCCAACTCCAAGACAGACCAGGTTCCCCCGCCCTGCCCCGAATCCTGCTGTTCTGTTCCTCCTTAGCTCCTATCTGCGAGATGCAGGGCTTAATCAGGTGGAGGACTCTGCGCCCGAGCCAGAGTGCAGCAGGGAGGAGAGGACAGAGGGGAGCTCTTGGAGCCGTGGGAAGAACCCAGCTCTGGCGGTGGTCACCAGGCAGCGCAGGAGGGAGGTGGCACTGCTCAAGGCTTGGGGAGGGCTCCCCAGAAGACAGCAGTCAAAGAGGGCATCCCTCAGGAAGGAAGAAAGGCACATTTGCAGGCAGGAGCTACCTGTGATGAAGGGTAGGACATGTGCTGTGGATAAAAGAGGAGATGAAGAAAGGAGCTGCAGCAGCCCCAGCGGAGATGCCCTTGCTGACTGCAGCATCGCAGGGCACAGCCACTCTCCTGGGAGGTGGTAAGCGTGGACAGAAGCAAGACAGACACTTACCACAAGGCGGATATCCTTGATTTCCCCAATGCCCACGTTAATTCCCTTTCTCTCGTTCACGGGGAGACGGATGTTGATGAGGTAGTACTTGTGAGCCACGCTGCCGATCTCCATGAAGGGAAGGAAGTCACAGTCATAGTGACGGCCTTCAGACTCCAGGGTCTAGCAAAAGGGCATAGAGCACCAAGACGGCAGTCAGTCTCAGATGGACCAGCATGCCCTCCACAGTGAGGGTCTGCAAAAGCCCTAATGCTGAACACAGCTGGGACCATTGCTAGCACCGAGAGCCAGTTTGCTAATACCAGCCTTTGCCTGGGGAGAGTCTGTGCAAGTCTGGACAATGCCAGCAGTTTGGGGACATTTTTGCTCACATTTTTGATTGTTTTGGGTCATTGAGTCACTAGAGTTTGAACCTCAAGCCAGGTTCATGTCTCAGGCTCTTAAATATATTTAAAGTCAAGGGAGCCTTTCAAGATGAAAGGCTGCTTTGGGATCCAAGCTTCCTCCCTCAGCAAGCACAACTTGAGCCAAAACAAAATACGCAACGCTCTCACACACGTCTTGATGTGGAGTTTCTTAAGTCCTGTTTTACTAGCAATACTCTCCTCTGTGCTTCATATGTATTTACTGTGTATATGTGGCTGTATGGAAGAGTATAGGTGTTACTGAAGACATAAGTGGGTTGCTGAAAGGGACTGTGAAATGGGAGAACAAGAAACAGCTGAAAAACATGGTAGAGAGACACCAGATTAATTTAAGCACAGGAATTAGAGTCTCAGCACAAAAAGCAACATCTTTAAACAAGATGCTCTGTTCTCAGCTGCTAGCTGTGCTCTCCGCTCCTAAGCTTTGTAGCTTCAGGCATTAAGAAGTTATTTTAAGAAACTCTTAGCCCCACCTCTCCAGGTTCTTTGGGTGCTGCAGTGTCCCTGGTGGGCTATTTCCTCGCCACTCCTGAAGAACAAGGTTTTGCCCATCACAGAAGCACAAGATGGAAAGGTCTAAGTTCTCTAGGATGGTTTGGCATATACAGATCTCAAAGCATTCAAGATCCAGCCTGATCACAACTGCAGAGGACAATTCTGCTTGCACCTGGATCTGTGTGTTGACCTCACACCTTTTCTTCCTTACAGTTTTAAGTCTACCTTTGACTTCATCCCCTTCTCTTGTATCACCAAACAGAACCACTTGCGTGTGGAGCTCATCAGGTTTTCAAAGATTTTGAGCCAAGAGAAAGCTGACACATTTGAAAGTTATGATTGAACAACTCAGAGCTTCTAGGAAGCATCATTAAGGAAAGGAAGAGGACAACTCCCACCACACTCCCACACCTCCCCACCACCAGCATCATCAAAACACCTTACTTTTGGTGAGCCAAACGTGCATTTCAGCTTCCTGATCTCTATTGCATGTGCTATTTCTTCCCAATCATCAAACATGTCATCGCGATATGCTAATGACACATCCAGGGTAATTTCTGCGTTTTCTTCTGCAAGAGTAAGGAAACATCAGGCTTGTTAGAGAGGAACGGTACAGAATGTCAGAAGGGTGGGAGAGCCTCTAGACACTGAAAGGACCTCTGAGAGGCACACAGCTATGGAGGGGAATGGCAATTTTTGCATTTCAAACAATACAGATCAAATTACCTTTTTCAAAACATCAGTGTCCTCTCTAGTAAAGAAGAAAAAACTTCTACTGGTTGTAGAGGTCTGATATCTTTCTAACATACCATGACTTACAGCTTATATTACAGTTGTGGGTGAAGAGCATTATTTATTTATATAACAGTAGAAACAATAATTCATATGAAACTGGAACCTAGACAGCTGCAGAGACAGACACTAAGCCAGAAAGCCATCCAGCAGCCTATTCGCTGCGGGTTGGCAGAGGGACAATAAGACAGGCTCCAACGTAGACTTTCTGCAGGTAATGCAAAGGTGTGCAATAGGTCCTTGCGCTTCAGGAAGCGACTATATTGCATCATCGGATTTGCTTTAAATTGACATTGAAATAGCATTGTTACAGAAAACCACAAAAAAGATGAACTATACAACTGTGTATACTGTATACATAGTTAGATGAACCGTATAAAGGAGAAACCATGCAACTAACGGTACATTTTGTTCATTTAGACATGATAGCAGAAGGCATCTATCAATGTAACCTTGGGTTTCTTCTGGCTGTAGGTTCGTCATCCACAAACATTGAAGCCCAACATCTTGAATAAAAAGGTCTAGAATATGCCCCTTAACAAAGATGTTTTCTATCAGAGAGATTTTAAATGAAAGAAACAAAAAAGGAGAAGTCAAAATGCATCACCAAAAGTCCAAATCTCTTCACAATTGCCCATACCTGAGATCCTCTACTCTTAAAACATAAGCCAGGGTTCCCAGAGTAATAAGAAAACACTACACAAAGTTCCTTTAAAAAGAAAATAAAAAAATCAAAGTTTAGCTATGCTGGCCTTGCTGGAAAAAGGGATGGCCTATAACCTCAGAAATAAGGATAGAGCTGATGTTTTCTACATGTACTGTTTAACTTAAGTCATTCTACATAAGACTTTTGAAGCCCTCCCCTCCACGCGCACACCCCACAGCAGCACTGGCTTGTTTCTGCCTTTACAGATGTACCAACTTGCATGTCAGTAAACACACACAGGGTTTATATGCCCAGGTAAGGTCACCACATCAAATTTGTGTGGAAACAGTCAGCTCATCACCTCCTGGACACGTTCACAGTATGAGTATGTGGTGTAACTGCTTTTAAATATGCTCTTGCTAGGATACTGCCAAGAGGTCATTGCTGCAAGAAGGAAATGGGGCTGGAACAGACTGATTTAGGTGCCATAACTGAGCAAGTTCATGAAATCGAGAGTTACAGCTGAAGCCTGCCAAGCAACAACACATAAATGTGCTTTAAAAACCCCAGGCAAGTCTGTACCAGCTCTACCAGATGTAAAATCCTCCTATTTACAAGGCAGAGATCCCAGGGAAGGCTCTGAAAGAGGAACACATTCTGAAACAAGCATGTGCATGCTACAACCTAGCCTCTTTTCATAGATTATCAAACTCTGAGAACTGCAGCTGTTGGAAAAGAGTTGGAAGATGGCTACAGAACCACTTCTTGTGTCGGTGTCAAAGTACCATGCTCTCACTGCAAACAGCTCACACTTGCAAGCTCCCTGGAAGCGCAGTGTGGCACGCTCCTGAGCTCAGGAGGCCAGAAATGCCTCTGCAGATCTAAGCTCACACACACACACACACACATTCCTTCAGGGCTGCGTCACTGCATAGGCAGACACCGTATGTGCTCTGTCCTGCATCGATGCGGAAGCTGTACGCGATGCCAACGCCCATAGCTTTTCACCAGGAACAGCCTGTATGACAACAGGGCTTGCCTGCTCTCACAGCAGCAGCTCGCACATGGGAACGGGCTGCAAAGACACATCAATACTTGATGAGCTTTGAAGTTCAGCCTGAAAAAAATCTGGTCTTCAGAATTCTGAAGGGAGGCTGTTTCGTGTCAACGAGTAAGCATGAGTCTTTCAAGCGCTGCATATCCCATATATTTGTCATCTTTTTCAGTTATATTTTTGTTGGGAATATGTGGTGGCATACTCATCCAAAATGATGGGAAGGGGCGTGGATGGTATCTGTGGTTTAGACTTGCTATTTATACAGTGTTTGGAGGTGGCTCTGCTATGCCTTAATGTGGATGCATCAAGATTTTTCTGAGCATTTTTTTTTGCACGTGATCTATACCATCCAGATTGATATCAAGTTCCTTTCCACAGCAGCCATTAGTTAGGTTTCCATGAAACATGAATTTGCCATCTCGGATCCACTATTTAGAAGACCAGCAAAACAGATAAATGGGAACATAAGGTTAAACTTGGCCTGGCTAAAAAGAACTACAAACTTCATTTCAGAAGCCATAAAACCAACTGGAATGCTTAGGATTAAATCCAACAAAAACAGCTTTCATTATTTCATCTTTGCAATCCAAATGTTGCTGCTGCCATGGAGTATGAAAACCAGAAGGCAGAAGATACACTAGTGTGTGCTTTTCCAGACCAGTGGATTACAATCTCCCTCTGAACTTCCATCAGTCTCTGTGTTGGGGTAACGTCTCCCATTACAATAGAGTTTTGTACAAAGACCTGTCAAGACTGTCAATATAAAATACATATATATGTATACGCACACACACGTATATGTATTTCAGGACAGCAAACTGATCCTCCTACGCCAGTCCACTCAGCCTTTCATTAGCAGTCCCCATTGTCCAAGAGGAACAAATAAGGACAGTGACACACCGTTTGGCAGAGAACTGAATTTTAAGAAGATTCATGACATTGGTGTTAATACCAAAATGTCAGATGGTGAACAGACAATTTGGGTGTGTGTGCCCTTTTCATGCACAGCATTAACACTCCTGAAGTCCTCTGAAAACCAAGGGCAGGCTATGTGCCTATGCATGCATACGTGCCTGAGGGGAAGAAGGAGAGAAGCAGCAGCTGATGTTCCACCATACTTGGCTTCAAGATAAAAGAAAGGTCTTTTAAAACAGTGTTGTTTACCGTCAAAACAGTGGATGAAAGGAGCGAACAGGAGGCAAGAGACTGACAGTCAAGCCAGTTTTTACTTCTGGAAGTGCTGAGAGAGACCAGAGTGTTTTAATTATTCAAGGCTGAGCCACAGCAGAAGAGGAAGAATACATGCAAGGAAGGAAGAGAAAAAGCTACTGCAAACCTGTGCTCAGCTTCCCAGATGCTAACATGTTCGAGGAAAGCAATTATTCAGTTCCTCCATGCATGTTAATCAAGATTCTCCAGAGTTTCCAAACAATAAAAGGTAGAAATAAGCAGGTAAAAATTTCTCTCTTATTCAGTACCAAGTGATGAAATTGCCCAATGCAGAAAACTTCATCTCACAAGGACCATGTCAGAGCATCTCCTCATGGCATGCTCCAGATTAATCTTGCCTTCACACATCTTGTAGATAACATCTAGATAATTTGGAGCCTGTTAAATTCCCTCTGATATTAGCAGCTCGAGCACTGAATGACAACCTCCTAGTATCATAGGATTGTATTAAAAACCCTACAGAAATAAAGACAGGTTCGTTTAGATGATTATGCATTCCAGGGATGACCAACGAGGAGAAGACACACTCCTGGCTGGAGTTCCCAGCTTTGAGCTTTCTCAGTGACGCTCCATTCGCAGGGCTATGAGATGCTCCGAAGCAGGTCAGAGCTGTGATCCCCCCTACAGCGAGGGACTCCCCGGTACCGCTCATGCTCCGAGCACTGCCAGTGTATTTTTTCACATTGGCATTTTACTGTCAGACCTTCAGTGTCCGAGATCTTTTCCATGACTCACTTCATAGTATGATATTAGCACAGGATATCTTCACTCACATTACAATAGTCTAAAAATAGAGAAGTTGTTTCAGAAGATGGCTCTGTGCCAGCTGCATACTAATACAGCTGTCTGGAAAGAAGCATATGCAAACAGAAGAAATGCTAAAATTATTTGCATTACACTTCCATGCTTCACCAGCTCTCTAAAATTACAAAACCTACCAAAGAGACCAAAATTGGATGAATCTGAACAGGAGCCCGCAGTGCTCAGCCATCCGACTGTACACAATTGCTTTCCAACTGCAAAGAAACTGGAAGTCATTCTCACTGACTAACATTTTAAGTTCACTAGATATAAAAAGAGAAGAAAACAAGTGGTTGGGTTTTTTTTTTTAGGCTGAAAATTTGTAAAGGCCCCTCCATACTGTTATGCCATGTGATAAATAAAGGCATCATTATCCAATGCCCAGCACAGTGCAACCATCACTTTGTACTCCGCAGGGACATTGCATTCCTAGATGTAAATCCAATACTAAGCAATTTCGGGTTTACTTTTCCACAAGGTGAAACCGAGGCAGGAAGAGCCCAGCTCTGGGGGCTCCTGAAGCCTGTGGCTGTCAGGGAGCAAGCAGCCTCCAGATCCCTGCTCCAGCTGAGGACAGATACCAGTGAATTATTTCTTAGCACGTAGAAGGTCATGCTGCAAAGCAGCTCAGAGAGAAGGACTGATGTTCCCTGTTAAGAACATCGCAGCTTGCCAAATGCAAATGGCCCAGGCCCATGGCAGCAGACCAACCCAATAAATAAATAAATAAATAATAATTAAAAAAAAAAAAAGATAAATCCCCTCCAAGATCCAAGATCACAGCACATCCTCCCACCCTTCTCCAAGTTATCCTGCCCATGACAGCCCAGCAGCAAGATGTGCCAAGAAGCAACAACTAAAGCAGGAAT